GACCACTGCTGAGGGTAGCAGTGGGTGAGGCAGGAGAGGTCTGCTGGACCATGTGGGTTTCTCCCTGACCTGCCGGGGATCGAACCTGCACCTGCAGAGGCTACGGTCAGCTCCACAGCATGGCATTCAACCCGCTGCGCCATGGGGGAGGCCCCACTATTATCTTCTTTATAATGAGTTCGAATTTTTATTTCTCCTATTGCTTGAGTGTAATTGATTTTTATGTATTTATATTCCACAGATTAGTGAAACTACCCACATTCTTTAATTTTTTGACTCATTTCACTCAACGTAACCACCTCAAGATCCATCCATTTTTGTCCTGTTGCCACAGTTTCTCCTTCCTTCTTCCTTCCTCACCTCCTCCCTGCCTTCCACCTTCACTCCCTGCTTTCCTTTTTTGCTTTTTTACATTTTAAATGCACAAGTTTATTAGGAAAAGGAAAAGAAAAAGAGACATATGCATAGTCACAGGTAGGCAGAAGAGCCTCAGACTTATTAACAACTGTGTAGTAGTTCATTGACTATGTGCTTCACAGTATCTCTAAAAATTAGTTTTATTAGTGCATCTCTCTCTGTGTAAAATACTAGTAAGAAAGGAACTTAATTTTATATTACTCGTGAGTAAGTTTTGTAATCTCTTATCCAAAACCAGTGCAATATCTGCACTGTAACAGGCAGTAGAGAAAACAAATAAATATAATCTCATTTTTTTCAATTCATACTGAAAATTTTAAAAGATCAAGCCAATATAATTTACTGAAAACTGTAGTTGATAGCAAATGACACTTAGGTTTCAAAAATGTGTGTGTGTGTGTGTGTGTGTGTGTGTAATGAAGTAATGTTCTTTAATTTTAAGTCAGTATAGAAGTTTGATTTTTACATCCTAAACTTATGTTATATTTTAAAGAGAAAACATTTGAAAATTCTTTTTACTGCATTGTTCACACACACACACACACACTACATTTGAGATTAAGGTTGCAATTCTGGGTTAGCTAAGAATTTTAGCAAATTATAGTAGCATGCCATTTAATAGCACAATAATTTATTCAAGTGCTGTATAACAGAAGAGACATATTTAATAACGTTTTATTAATACAGTATTAGAGTGAAAGATAGGTAGAGAAAGAAACAAGTCCTGAGGGAGCAAGAGAAAAAAAAGAGGGAAGAAAGTAAGTAATGGAAGTAAAAATTTAAAGCAAAAGAGGAAACAAAAAAAGAAAAATATTTTTTCAATTGCCTAATTATCAAATAATGTAATGCATTGCATGATTATCATTTGGGATAGCGGAACAAGGCTAATATAAGAGCATAAATTAAATTTCAGAAAATCTTTCTTCTTAATAAAAATTAATTATTGAATGCAACATCACATTTTTTATGCATACAAGAACTGGGGTACAGGCCAGAGCTGTGAGGGGGGTTGAGAGGATTCACCAGAGACAGAGCAGGGAACAGAACAGGCAGACTGACTGAAGTACACTGAGGGCGAGTCAGGAGAAGTCTGCTGTGCCATGTGGGTAGCTCCCTGGCTGGGGAGCAAACTCTCCTGCTGCAGTGGCTGCAGATAGCTTCACAGGTTGCATTTTAACCCCTTGCACCACCAGAGAGGCCCATTATGATGTAATCTTATTGGTCTCTTTAATTAAGGAATGTTTGGCCAAATTAATAACAAAAATCATTTTGTGAAAGTAAGGAAGCTTTGTTTTTCAAAATAAGCATGTTCTTAGTTCATGTAAGTCTCATAATTGATTTAAAACCAAAAATTAACAAAGTATTTATTATTATGTTTAGAATATCTATAAACCTATTGTACTACAAATATATTAGATACGTTATAATTTGAATAGGCGCATATAAAATTTGATGACTCTACAGGAGTCCAAAAAATAGAAAATCCATAAAGAAACTGATCAAAAAATAAGTCTCTCATACAAGTGTAAATATACACGCATAGGAAAACACAATAAACTCATAATTTCAGTGTATTCCAGTTTGATATATGTTCATATCAATTATCTAAATTAAAATCCTCAAGGACATTTGGTCATTCAGTTTTAAAGTATTTTCTTTGCGCATGTTTACTTATTTTAGTTACCTTTTCAGAAGAAAAATTATTAATCTAAACTAAAAATTCATCTAATCACATTCTGCATAACTTATAGTTTGTTTCATATTTTACCTTAAATATCCTGAAAAATATACATGTGAGACTATTGTAATATTGCTTACGTAAACATAAGTGACTATTTAGACAGACCCACTCATTCCTCTTAGTTTCATTCTTAATAGCTTATTTTTTAACTTTCTTAACTTTGTTTTGATCCTACTCACCCAACCCCTTTTACACTTCCCAACTTAATTTCCCTAATATACTATTTTCACAATCTTAATAACTAGACACCAGTTTATCCCACTTAAGGGAAAACATCTTAAGATCTTGCATTCTCATATAGAAATTTCTGAAATTTTTGAATTCTAATATAGAATCACAAATGACAGATATGTACTTTAGAGATATTCTTTTTTATAATCCCCAAATTTTCCAAATGATGAATTTGATGAAAGAGATAGAATATCTTGCTTTCCGGCCTCCCCGGTGGCGCAGCGGTTGAGCGCTGGGTTGCGAAGCTGCCCGCAGCCTCTGCAGCGCTGGTTCGATCCCCTGCTGCTCCCTGGCCACCGAAGGAGGGTCCCACATGGCGCGCAGACTTCTCCTGCCGCCCGCTGCTCCCCTCAGCAGTGTACTTCGGTCCTTCTGCCTGCTCTGCTCCCTGCTGTGACTCTGGTGAATTCTCTCACCCTCCCGCGCTTCTGACTGTACCCAGTGCTTGTATAAATAAATAAATCAATCTTAAAAAAATAAAAAAAAATAAAGGCTTTAAAAAAAAAAAAGAATATCTCGCTTTCAGTCACACCCCAATTAGGACAGAACAATACCTAGAATACTCTAGGGGGCTACAATACTCTCAATGCTGCTTCTATATGCCAGGATCTTTGTGCCTGCTGAAATAATCTGTTTTCTTTTCTCTTTCTTTCTCCCCCTCCCTTTGTCACTTCTTTTCCCTCTCTTCATCTTGTTTTCTCTCTCTCGATAATAACAAGAAAATGGTTTGCTTTTTCTTTCATCTAAAACATAAATTTGCTTTCCAATTTTATTGCCTTGGGGTTTTGAATAATATTTCCCTGCCTTCATTGACATCATCACCCAAAACGATCTGATCACTGGAGTGAACTGAAAAATATTTTCTATTAAACAACAACACAGGCTTTGGTGGAATATTATGAGTTTTTACCATGTATATTAAATCTTTTCTGATGGTTTGTCATGGTGGCATGAAGCTGACTAATTTATGCCATGTGACATATACTTCAAAAGAAGTTTATAACATACATGCTTTGGTCAGCCTAAGTACAGGTTATTCAGCTGACTCCACTATAATTATAATTATAGAATGCCCATCTGCTCTGAGATGTTATCTTTAATGGCATGTCACAGTGCCTGAAGCAATAATAATTTAGGTATTGAGTCACTTATAGAATGTGTGTGCATATTCGAGCATGTGTGTATAATGAACAGGGCAAAAAACATGGCACATGTCATTTACATATTTACATAAAATCATTAGTAGTAAAAGGAAAATAAAAATGTTACAGATAACCTGGGAAGCAAACATGGCTTGGAGGGATATACCCAGGGAATTAAATATTTGGGAAAAAAATTAAAAATTCTGTAATAAAGCTGAAAAGAAAGATTTGGTAGTAGCAAAAAGTTCCTTCAGTAGCAAAATTACATGTGCTTTCTCAATTTTGATCTTGTTTAAGTAACTATCAAATTTGAGCATATATGCCTTTAAATTAAATAAACTTCCATGAATTCAGTCTCACACACTGCAGACTATTAGTTTTCCTTATACAAAAATAAAATGTACTTACTCCATCAGAGTTGCAGAAAAGTGCAAATCTAGTACAAAATTCTATTAGATTCTAAGGTTAGATAGTTCATATCATTATGTATACATTTTGATGGAAAACAATGTACTGAATGTTACAAAATTTTTTGAAATTGTTCTAACTTAAGAAGATGTAGCCTTGATTTCAATTGCCAATATCTGTACAAGTTAAGTGCTGATGGCTGTAGGTGGGCGTGTGGATAGTGTGTGAATAATGACCCTTCCATATGATTGATTGTTTCAGTTCACTAAAAGTGTTTGTTTACAAGTTTAAACAGTCAGAAATCTGACACAGCAGCCCCTTTCTCTTCCTGTCAAGGCCCTTAGAGCTTCCTGGGACAAGAAACATCACCTATTCTGAGAGTCTTCTTAAAGGCTTTAATGAAATGCTTCTAGCATCCACCACCGTTCATAAAACAATTGGTATATTAGACTTCATAAATATCGAATAACCTCCAGGATTTTGGCAGTGGAAGTTGAAACTGAAAAGTTTGATTTTTTTTGGTATTATTAAATAATTTGTTAACCCTGGAACTTCCAACTCCACATAGCTGACGATGTATTTAAATCCTGAGCATGAAGATGGATTTGTGCAGAATATAAGGGAGCACATGAAGTCTGATGTCGATTATGCAGCACGCATATGAAAAAAGAAGATTCTGTTTACGAATGGTAGTAAACATTGCAAGCTTTCCTATTTTATTCCAGCGTTCAAAGCATATTTTTTTCCCTTCAGAACAAGTTTCTGCTGCAGCGACTCCCTCTAGCAGCTCCGTGAACCGAGCAAAGGGAACAGAACACCAAATACACCCTTTTTGTAAACAAATGGCAAAGGAGAAAGGAAAGTTTGGCCAGGGAGATCAAAGGGATCTGAAATTTCGTTCCTTCTTTCTTTCTTTTATTTTTTTTTGGAGTGGTTGAATGGGTTCTTTCTCTTCCCCAGTTCTCTCCCCACCCACCACCCCACCCTCTCCTCCTAATGCTCCAGTGCCCCCTCCCTCCGCCCCATCTTGCTGCCAGAGCAGCGCCAGCCGCGATCTTTGGAGCGCACTGAACGGCAGTCCCGGGGAAGGCAAAGGCTCCCGCAACGCCGAGAGCATCTAGTTTCTTCAGGACTCCTTGTGACTGGATCATGAAGTCCAAAAATGCCAACGTTGATCATAAGCCTGGATTTTGCATGGATTGCCTCAGCTGACCCTAGCAGAAGCCCAGTGCAAAGGGGGGTCCCCCCCCCACCCCGCACCTCTCAGGGAGTTGATATGCAAAATAGTTACGTCAGATGGTGGGGGCGGGGCACGCCCGGGTTGAGTGGCAGCAGCTCTTGCTTAGGGAGGAGGCGCGAGAATCAGCCTGGTTCAGTGACTGACACAAACTGGAGGTGAGAGGAGCTGGTGCTGTCCACGGTGCTGTGGGTGCTGAACCTGGGACGCGAACGGGGCCGGTTCCTCCAGCGCCTCGAGGCAACGCCCTCGCGCACCCGCTGTGCCCTGCGGGACCGCTTCACCAGCAGGACCATATCAACTTGACAAAGGAGTGTGGTGTCGGACGTGGAAGAGAGTCCTCTGTTTGCCACCTGAGCGCCCTTTCAGGCGTGACTTTGGAGATTTCTATAGTTTCACCCAAACTATTTTCATCTGTTCCCAGCTGAGACGATCTTTTTAGTTTTTAAAATTATTATTATTATTATTGCTATTTATATATCCACACCATTTAGGAATCTTTCTGGGAGACTTTTTGACTGTTAAAATAAGGTAAGAAAAAGAATATTATTATGAGTGATGCAGATTGCCATGCACATATTTAAAAAGAAGTTATGAGTATTTTTATAAATTGGAATGGGACATTTATCAATAATTGCAGTAATTATTTTAATAATTACTATTATTTTTATAAGCTCATCTACTGCTGATTATGCACTGGGTTTTAGATAGAAAGTTGAGGGCTGTGTGTGTGTGTGTGTGTGTGTGAAGTAAATGTTCTCATGATACATCTTGCTTTACAAATATAAATATTTGTAGAGCAACACTTCCAGCATGGCTCAAGGAACAAGAAAGATTCAATGCAAGGCTCCAAATATGTTAGTAAATTGCATTAAATAAATCAACCAACAAGTTGTATGAAACAAATGCAATCTTAAAAAAAAATTTGAATGTACTAATCTCTGCTTAATCAATGCTAGCTACCTCTGATAGCTAAAGCTTAGACTGCTTTAACATTTTGGAGGGTAGCTGGTAAGGATAGGAACGTTTATACGATGCCAGGTTCATTTAGATGTGTTATGTTAGATCCAAATAAAACTTGTGAAACTCAGTCTTTGAGAATTCCACACCCCAAGGTCATGTGCATTTTCAAGTTGGGGTCTGTTTGTTCTGCTATTGACTAGTAAATGACACCCCCCCTACCCCCTAAGGTTAGAGGTGGATGTACATGGGAAGCTCTGATTTAATAATACAGTATTAGCTTGTATTATAGTCTCTACTGCTGTTGGTAATTGAATGGAACTGGGAAACGTGGGCTGAGAAAATGTCTCGCTATTTCAGCAATGTTTAACCTCTTGCATGCTTAACAGAGAGCTTTTCTCTACTTAGGAGATTTTCTTTTGAAGCTATGTTCCTTTTGTCAATTGGCAGTGTGTTCTGATTGTGTGTGGGGAAGAATTCAGTGGGGAAAACCACTTAATACTTCTCACAGTGAACAGTTATTAAATGATAGAAGTTAGCTGGTACTATGTGTATTTCTTATTACTATTCATTTATTTGACAGGCTGATGGTTTTTTGATAAATAGAATTGTGATCTTTATTTATGTCATTTAGTGGCATTAGGTTAAGTATAAATTATGGCTGGAAAAACAGAGAGTTCAGGTTGCAACTAGAAGTCCTGTTTGACACAAATGGGTAAAATATAAAGCTGTTTCATAGTTAATCAGTATCACTCAGCTAACTATGAACTATATCTATGTTTTCCAGCAACTAAAATGTACACATTTATGTTTAAATATTTGTGTATTTTTGGTTGCCATGAAATTTTCTTCTCTAGTTGTGTTGTACTAATAAGGATGAACTTTGGCTTTAGAGTTGATGATTTATAATAATTTTTATGGGTAGATATTTTTCTTTTTATTTATATCACTATCCTACATGTGAATGTTTGCTAGATAAAATAGATATTATTGTAAACACTAGGGGTCTAATGTAAATCACTTTAAGCATTCCCACATTTTACCCTAAACAGATGTGCTTTGTAGAATTCCTTTCAGTCATGTGACCTTATATTAAATATTCATATGTTTTTAAGGACTAAGCAGGTATAGAAACAAAGAAGAATATATGAGACACTGGGGCATGAAGCTTATGCCAAATAGCCTCCTTTAAATGTCAATATAATCTTTCTATATATTTTAAAATTCTCTTTCTGAAACTGATTGTGCTAGTATTGATACCTAAACTGAGATTTCAAGCAGAATGGTGACTTAATTTCAGTTTTCTTTATTATATTAAAGTATCAAGATATATTTTAATTATACAACTTTCTTTAAAGGGGGTAACATATGTAAACTCTATATATACCCAAATGTATTTGAGTATCTCACTGATTTTTTTTGCATAAAATATAAACAGTTACCTTGAACTACTAATATCTGGAATTCTTCAGATGAAGTTTAGGGTTGTCAGTGAGTTGGTTATCTACTTAGGTTAAAATATGCTATTGGTAATAATGAAACCAGTCAAAGAGAGATTCAATGGGATTTTAAATTTAAATATTGGAAGTATTGTCTCCTGTTTTTTCCACACATTTAGCAGTAGAGTTCTGTAGTAATGCAAAATTGGTAACTATTATAAGCCCAACTTCAACATATTGGAGATACTGTTTAATACAAACTCTGATTCCTTGATAAAATTGTCAACTATGAACATTATAAAAATATTCAAACATGGTTATCATTTTTAATTTTTTTGCTCCACAAAGACATGACCATAGTTTGAAGTTATAACTTGTCCATGTGGAATTCAAAGGATTATTCAATACGACAACAGTGGATAGCCATTAAATCATTAATTCATTTTGTTATATAGGCACTGGAAGTATGTCTTCTTACTTCAAGATTATAATCTTTTATGAAATTCATGAAAAATATTGAATGAGTTTAATCATTGTCACATTATATGCACAAGTTGTCTTCCCTAATTAGTTCTCAATTTCTTAAGCTATATTGGCACTAAATTTAAAAATTATACTGCTGGATAAGTCTTCTTTTTTCTTATAAATAAGCTGAATAATTATGTGTATTTGGTGGGATTTAAGACAAATATGAAGCAATTTTGTTTTTATATTATCAAGGCTATATATTAATTCCATTTTTATTTACTTATTTTATTTACAATATATTTATTTACATTGTATAATGGAGATATATAAAGTAATAAATGCAAAATAAGCTAAAAAGTGAGTGAACTGACTTTTTAAAAGTAACTTTAAAATAATATTTAAGAGATTGAGTAATAGTTTATTAAGGATTTTATTTGAATAATGAGGCCAGTTTTTTCATGTTTAATGTTATTTATCAATGAGAACAAAACACCTTGAATAATATGGTCTTACTCTCTCCCTTCTTATATGCCTCAAATCACTACACTAGCTCAAGTACCTTTTTATTACTTAATATATTATCATGTTCAAAAGAAACTTGTGGACCAATCGGCTAGAATAAGATACTTCCTGTTGCTAACATCACCGTGACAGTCATGTGACCAATTATCCTTTGCCAAACAGACTTAATCACCTTCTTCTTCAACACCTCCAATGTCCTTTGGGCATAGTCTACTTAAGGTGTGCTGTAGTTTCCCTTGTGAAAAATCCTAATTTTCTCATTAAATTGGTCACAAAGCAGCAAAACAATTGGTCCCTCTGTGCCTCAGTCACCTTGGTGTTAAAGAGACCTCTATTATTATAATGGATAACATCGTGTCTTGTAAAATTCAGGTCTCTCTGAGTCTATATGGTTTTTCTGAAAGAGGAAGAATTCAACATAGTATAAGTGCTTGTTACAATGAAAGTGTGTGTGTCTGTGTGTGTGTGTATTTCTTTCTCAATGCAAACACATTAATACTTTGGTGGTAACTTTTTCTGTTTTCTTAATCTTCCTCTCTCTCTCTCTCTCTCTCTCTCTCTATATATATATATATATATATATATATATATATATATAAGGTTTTGGTAGATTCTATGCAATAATGGACATGCAGTGGGAATGATTGAAATGTGAAAGTTCAAGATATTCTCCTTAATACTAAAATAATTTGTCATAAGTGATAAAATGTATAAATTTAGTGGCAAGTGTGTCTTGTAATTATTGTTTTTTTTTTGTTTATGCTAGTATACTTGAACACACACAAGTTTTATTGGCACAAAAATGTCATTCAGGAGCTCTTATGGCTTATTGGCAAGGAAAAGGACAATTGGCAATGAAAATTTGCCAAGAATAAAAGAAAATGTATGTGTGTATAATGAAGTGTTTACATTACTCATTGATTCCAAGAAAATATGTATTCCAATAAATTATTTGAAAGTTATTATCTCTAAAAGAGAGACGTCAAGTTTAATTCCTACACATCTTCAGGTAATAAGCCATGCACTTCTAAAGAGCAGTATCTGTATTTCCTTACACCTAAAATACGTGTATTCCTTGTATATCAGTGTTTCCATGTGTAGATTGGTGTGAAATGTGGTAAGAAGAGCAGCTTAACTTTGAACTTTCTGACTTTAAAACCAAGTAATTAATATTAATTTAATGTGACTTTTGCTATCAAATTATGTAAATCTCTAAAGCAAAGTGGTAACTTAGTGAGTTCATTTGCACGTCAATACAGAGAATATTATTCCAACTCCTATCTTGTTCACAGAATTGCTAGCAATTCTACAGCACAATGCAAAATATTTGAAAATGCTTTCTTCATTGAGTTTTATTTAAATATATTCATTGTAATTGACAGTTATGTGAAACTTCCTTTGGTCATATATTTTCTCAGTGCAAGTAGCACCAAGGTAGCAATTAAAACATGCATATAGTAGCAATTAGAACACACACGCCTGAACTGTGTTCCCCAAAGATGATGATGAAATGGAGATAAATTACATGGTTGGACTTCTTCCACCAAACACATTAGATAATGTTTTAATGATCACCAAGATCTTAGTTTTTCTAATTTCTAAAACACTAAAATAAAGGTTCTTACATGAAGGGACTAATGCTGCCATGCACTCTATGGTTATGTGCCCTCTTTTCTCAAACACATAATAATTACTGTGAACCTCGTGTCAACTAGTCACTGAACTGCCCTTCTGAGATTAAGGGGATTGTCCTATTCATTTTTTCCAAAGGAAGAGAGCCAGTCTGAATTGCTACCAGTAAACACATTTGCCATCTATTAATAGGTAATCTATTGATCTTTGGACTTAAGGGCATTGAGTTTGGATTGGTCTATATATCTAGAAAGAGTGAGAGGACAGAAAGAAATAACTTTTGAAGTGTTAATATTCATGCCTAAATAATTTTCTCACATTAGACCATATTTTTTTTGCATACAAGAACCAGGGTACAGGCTAGATGTGTGGGAGGGTGAGAGGATTCACCAGAGACAGAGTGGGGAACAGAACAGGCAGACTGATGAAACACAGTGCTGAGGGGAGTAGTGGGTATGACAGGAGAGGTCTTCTATGCCATGTGGGCATCTTGCCAGCTGGCCGGGGTTG